GCTTTTTCAAAAGAAGCAAATAAAAAGCTTGCAAACTTGAGTGGCGTAACTTTAATCATCCCAGATGTTGGGTTTCATAGTCAGTTGCTGTTTGGGTTAGATATAAGCACCTTTTGGTCAGAGAATGTAATGTTTCCTGCAGAAGGGAAAACTTTTTCTTGGAGTAATGAGAATAGCTTAGTCTACTTGGAATTGAAAAAGAAAAAATTGATTTGGGTATTAAATGCTGGGGAACAAAGTTTTCTGCTTTGCAGGGTGTTCTCCTTACAATTGCAGTTATAGTTAGTGGAGAAGCTTGCCACCAGCAGTGTTTGGAGCTCTGCAAATCCTGTTGGCTCAGTATTGACTCCTAATTAATGATCCACATTCCCACAGATGCACTGAGGCCTTCTGTGATGTGGCTGGACCAGTGGAAAACAATAGTCATTTATTTCCAGCTGTATTTGTCCCATGAATAAAGGACAGGAATTAGTGCCAGTGTGTGGTTTCTGTTGGCTGCTGTACAGAAATTTGGCAGCTTTTGTAGCCAAGGGAGTGTAATTTATAAAATTCAGAGATCTGATGACAACTGGTCAAGCTTCAAATGCAACATGTTGGGCTTTTCTCGAGTTTGCTTTGCATAAAGCCCAGCTCTGGCTAGAACAGCTACATAGTCCAAAAAAAACCAGTTCGAGGCCCAGGGTGAAATGGGATGGAACACAGCTGACCCACACTAAAGAATCTCTTTCAATGAAGCCAGCATATACCTCTGTTTCTATGAGGAAGCCACTCAAGCTCTATCTGGTGTCTCTTCTTCCATCAGTGTGATGGTGACTGTGTTTTCCTCTTACCATGGGCTAAAAATGCTCAATAGTACATCAGCAAAGCTGTGATGCTGTGATTGTGGACTGCTTCTGATAAGCTGTACTTTCACTAATGTGCATTTGGCACCTCCCAGGTAGGGCAAGTCTTTAATGTGCCCCATGAGGACAGTGTCCTGTCTGTAACTCATGTGTTGATGTAACCTAATATATTTTACCTGTGTTACATTGGGGTTTACATCTAGAACTGAATTGGGATTTTTTTTCTCTTTGTATAAAAAGTATCAGTGATTGTTTTAATATGTTTTAAAGTTATCTAAATGCCAGAAAGATGAAATATTTTACAGTACTCAGGCTCATTGCACGCAGGTTCTTTAAGCAAGCTTGGGCTGACCGTGTGCTGTCCTCAGGCTGTTTTGCTGTTCCAGACATTCACCAACACTTATGCAACTGGTTTGGACTATTCCAGTGAAAACTGGGCAATATGTGTGATTTTGTTGATAAATTGAATAATCAAACCTCACTTTCTTGGGCCAAGCTATATGAGGTGAAGCTGACATGGTGCTATTGATTTTAGTTCTGATAATGCTCTTGTCTGACTCTGATATAATGGCTGGAAGTGAGTATTGTGTCTGCTTGTGGAAGAGCAGGATAACACACACTTGTGTGTGTTTGTGAGTGTACATTCATGTGCATACACAGACTTATATTCACAGACAGACCTTTTCTAGAGGCTGGGACACTTGCTGTTGTTCAGCCCAGAGCATGTTCCAGAGTGTTGGCCAGCTCTGGCATATGACCATGGATAGAATTGTTTGTGCATTGTCCTGGCTTTGTTATAAGTGCCAGAGTGATCCCATTGTTTGAGTGGGATCTTGGTCAGATGGAATTCTGAGTGAATGAAGCGTGGTTTGGAGCATGCAGCATTTAGTTTTTCCTTTTTTGCCCCTTATGTCTGTTCAATGTTTTATGAATGTTTAGCAGAGTCTTTGCACAGCCTCATTAAGTGCCTTACTGGGCTGCAATGGCCAGGAGTGCTGTTAGCAGTTCCAGCAGGAGGTGTGCCCATGTGTCCTGTACCTGCCAAAGAGCTGCTGGACTTGGGAAGAGCAAGGCAACCAAATCCTAGAATGCTCATCAAAAACATGAATTAAATTCCACAAGCTTCTGTCACAGATCATCAGCATCAGGAACTTACTCACATGTGCTCTGTGCACCTTTTCAAACACTGCCAGAAATGGACCTCTGCAGCTGCTGCCTGCAGCTGTTTATGGTTTAGCTGTAATTTCATAGTTCTGTACATGCTGGAGAAACCAAGATGGTTTATTGACTACAGGCAGGCTCTACAGCCAGAGGAAAGGACACTTTATACTATGCCACAGTGTAAATAAGCCCACAAACCCAAACATGGAAAAGTCATTCTGTTGCTGACAGCTGATTTGTGATTTTTCTTGCCACAAGGATTAGGTGCTGCTTGGAGCTGACTTGCCAGAGGACTCGTGTAGCTGGAGCTTGCTGGATTTTGTTGGGGTAGCTCCATATTCCCATAGTCCTCACCTTCTTGTGTTTGGGAGAGGGGAATGAATTGATCAGCTTCTCCCTGCTCTTTCCCTATCTTTCCTTTCCCTCTTCCCCTGACACTGATTTCCAAAGAGAAATAAAAGGGTTGCTGCTTTGTCTGTTGAAGGCTGTTCTTAGTTTCTGGCTTGATGTTGTCCTAGAAAGAGCTCAATTGTGATGATGCAGAATCCCCAGGCAGTGCAAAGGAGAGCTGCTTTATTGCAAAAACCAGGCTTTTTAAGCAGTTAGCCATTTATCAATTTATCTAGTTTTAAGGCACAACAAGCCCAAGTCAGCCAACCACTGTCCAGCTCGATGTGGACATGCAGCCATCACGCAGCACATCTCTCACATCTCTCACATCTCTCACATCTCTCTACCCCTATTCCAGCTGAGTCACTCTCCCATTGTTCCCTTCTACTTAGCCTAAGTAGCAGGCCTGAGCCATGATTTTACAAGGGTAACAAGGCCCTTATTTTATAAGGCTTTACCTATGTGCAACAACTGATGAAAGTGAAATCCTGCTAGTGAAACACTGATAGAGCATGATGTTCAGTACATACAAGTACTTCTCTAGGGGGAAGAGTCTGAAATGTAGAAATTCTGGGGGAATTGAGTAAGCATATGATAATTCAGTGTTGGTTGGAGGGACATAAAGCTGACAGTATGAATAGGTCTAATAGCTCAGCACTTGTAGTGCTGGGGTTCAGTAGAAAAACCATCAGGTAACTGACAGCAAATATTTGTCAAAAGGTCCTTCTGAGGTTTACTCAGTGTTCAGGTCATGGATACAGTGGATTAAGTGTTGAGATCACATGGTGTCCATGCATTTTCTGTCAATACTCTGCCCTTTTGGCAGCCCCTTTGAGATCATAGTGATTTCTGATCTAAATTGCACCAACATCACACAAATACCTTCCCAGACCTGTGCTGATAACAGTCTTGTGCTGAGTATTTCTTATAACCAGGTATCTGCTCACACCCATGGAGTCATTCAGACATGAGTGGGAATTTTTATAGTGGGAGGCATGTGGTCCTCCTGGTTCTGCAGCATCATTTCCCTCTCCTGCCTCAGCTGATGGATATCAGAATCATGGGTTATATGTGGGACAATAGGCAAGTGAAAAGAAGCAAATGTTTTTTTTCCTGTTCTGCATCAAGCAGAGATGGGAATGTCCTCTTGGATCTTCCTGGTGAAGAGGGACAGGAATAGGAACTGAGGGCATTTTATTTGCAGGACACCAACAAGGCAGTAGAAGGGGATAAGAAGTGAGGATTTCAGGACCTTCAAACTCTAAGTCTTCTAGCTAGAGTGGGCTTTATGTCCATGTGACATCCAGGACAACTTGTGTGCAGGTGCTCACATGGAAAAAGGTTTCAGTCTCCAAGCTGATAACTGCCATTACACATATTTTGTGACACATGTATGTCTTTCTTCTCTCTCTACTTGTGCAACTTTTTATCAGGGTGGTTGGGGGCTGAGATAAGGACTTTTAAGTCCCCATGAAAGTAAGTAACTCAGTAACATAAACTGGTGTTGAGAGCATGAGCAGTGGTTCTGCTCTCCCTGCATCCTTATGTTTTGTATGAGAGTCCAGCTCTCGAGAAAGCAAGAGCTCCTCAGAGGGCTGAATGTCACACTCAGCTCAGAGAATTCACCCTGAAATGGCTATTTTTTTACTTGATGAATGGAGAATGTTTGCTACATGGAGGGGACTATCATGTCTACACCACTATAGAAATCTATATAAATAAGTTTTTTTTTAATCCCCATCATCTTAAAGTGCCAAATAGATACTTTTCCACTAAGCTCATAGTAGTACTTGGCTTGGAAGCATAGGATCATCTCTTAAAATGTGTTGTGTACCAGCAAGGACTGAAATATCTTGCCTAGAAAAAAACAGTTCTAGCTTTTAGAGCAGGACTTTTCTGTAGGTTGGCTGATTATTGCTTTGTGCTGCTTGACTGTGATTTTTGGCACACAGTGTCACATACCAAATTCCCGAAATAAAATGCTACATGATATTCTAAGAGTTCTTAGGAAGCTTTAAAAAGGGATTTGTCTGCTGAGTGGGTACCTCTTCTGAAGCCAAATGATGCAGCAGCAATGGTTTAAAAGGAGAAAACTTTAGTCAGCAGATAATTAGTCTTTTTAAATAAGTGCAAGGAATAAAAAATAAAACCTTCCATCAGACTTGTGTTTGTAGAAGTTGTCAGCAATTCTGCTTTGATTGGAGAGGGTGTGCAGCCCTTTGAATAGTTAAAACATCTGTTCAGCGACGTTGTGAAATGCTCGTGTTCGGAACCCCTGATAAGGGGGACTGCTGAGCACTTGGCTCTTACAGGCTCTACAGGCAGCAAGGGCTGCACAAACTGTGGCCACTGCTTGCCTTTCCTCCTCCTGGGCAGAGCAAAACGTAGGAGACAGCTGCTATTTTACATGTGATTTTGCTTTGAGAAGGAGAGAGCAGGAAGTGCCTAGGAAATGGTTCATGACAGAAACCTGGAGTTTTAAATAGGAGAGAAGAGGAGGAGGAGGAGAGCACATGGGCACAGTTTGTGAACAGTTGAAACACTGACACAACAGCAGCAGGGGAAGACCAGACTTCTGAGAGAGCAAGCACCTCCCAAGCTATCCTGATGGAAGGAGAGACAGTCCCCGAGGCCAGGGGAGCAGGCAGCAAAGCCACTCGGATCGCCCTCGGTGTCTTTGTGAGCGGCACTGTTGTGCTTGGCACCGCTCTTTTCTTGGGTAAGTGAAAGCCTTGACACTAACCTGAGCACAACCTCCAGCCTGCCTGCTGGCTGCTGGTGTTTGTGTCTCACAACGTCTTTGGTGAAAATCTAAATCTCTTTTGCTTTCCTCCCATTTTATATTCATCCTGAAGGGGATATGTGTCAGTAAAGGAGTTCTTGTTGTGGGGATGCTAGAGCTGGGGGATGCAATGGGAACCCATGTAATGTTTTGAATGCTGAATTTAAATTTTGATACTCAGTTGAATGTGTTCTGACCAGACTTGGGTTCTTCCACAGGACAGAGAGAAGCAGGTGAGATTATGCTGATTACGGATTCAGTGGTTGTGACTGATGTGGAATAATATTCTCTGTTTCCTGGAAATGAATCAGTGTAGTGCGTGCATTTTATGGAATCTTTTTGGGTTTCCTTCATTTGGTTTTCATTTAGGGCTTGACTAAAACCCCTGTAGAAAGCTTCAATAGTGCATATGCGTGCACATTTTTCAGATCTTTCTGTTCTTCTACGATGAATTGCAAAGCTGCCTTTACAAAAGTCATAAAGAGTGCATCTAGGATGAAATTGAAATATTTTTGTTAGATATATAAGCTGTAACTAGATGCAACAAAGAAGGAAATAGCTTTTCCTCTCCCAGATTTGGAATTACCTGTAGATTGGTTTTGTTAGCATAACTTGAAAGCATATGCCTACACTTCTGAAATTATGTGTAGAAGTATAAATATGCCCAGAAACTCCAAGCAAAGTGGAACCAGTGTTTTATCCTGTAAGAACTTTGCAGAGTTGGGTCCTCTTTTGGAACAATTCTGCCCAACCTTTTGTTTCTTTAGACCAACACAGATTTCCTTAGATTGGTGGAAACCTTGCCTCTGAGTGTATCTTTTTCTTTCATCCAATCCTTTATGATCTTGTTTGAAAGGTCTGCTTTGTTTACAGCCACAAAACAATGTCAGGTTTTCTATAGAATATTTAAAGCAACAGGCTCACTCTTGGTTAGAGCTTTTCTGCTCTAGAGCAATTTCTGCAACATTTTCAGGAAAATAACTTCTGTGTCAGTGATCCCATTCAAGTAAACTTTTTATAACCATGAGTGAGTTTGAATCTTTAAATTTCTAGATAAAAGAAAAAGTTTTTCCCTTAAAAAATGCAGTACACCAGGGAGTAATAATGGAGAGACCTTATTTCTTTTTGCCTTCACTAGATTTATTTGTTTGTTTGTTGCTTAGAGCAATAAAAGGAATTGACTTTTACCACCACAGATTCTCAGAGATAGAACTGCTTTATCCATAGCCCAGGTGTGAAAATTCAAGCAAATATATTAATTCTTGCAGACAGTTTTCCAAGTGGCCTGTGGCATGTTCTGTAGGCAGCGATTCAATATCAAAATTTTCATTGGCATAACTGCTAAGAAAATAAAAATGCTGGACTTGGGTCAGCCAAAATGCTTTTAGGATTTCTTTGGAAATGGTCTGAAATTTTCAACCAAAAGAACCAAGGAAAAAAATGTTAAGTTATTTTGGTTTAACATTTTTCAATTAGATGTTTCCACACTTCATTGTGATATGGTTTCATTTGTAAGTTTGAGCTAATTTTTTTTTTAAGTTTTATTTAACTGTAGAAATTGACATAATTTTTTTCTGTCTATATGAAACATTTCAGGCACCTCAAGATGTTCTTTTTTCTTCAGTTTTCATTTAGTCTGCAAAACTTGTTGTTTCTGGTACACCTGAAATTAATTTTCCATGAGGAGTGAAATGTAGCTTTCTCCTGCTCTCTTCTTCTCATAGTTCCTACAAGTCTGAGGAGGATGTGGGAGTAACAGATATTGTTAATTCCTGTTCATTGCTCGTGCTGGCTGTGATCTCTCTGTGACCCCAGTGGGGAGCATTGCTGGGGTCCTGCCTGTGACAGGACAGGAGCCACCCCCTCCTTGGAGGAAGCAGATTGCTCTCCAGTGCCCTTGGGTGAGAAGTCAGGTGGCTTTGAATCTCAATTTGAGAGCCTCTTCTCCTGACTTGGTAGTCCTTTAGGCTGCTCAGATCACAGGAACATTATTTGCATCTGTACATTTGCATCGTTTTCCTTTTCCCTTATAGATTTATTTTTTTAAACTCAGTTGTGGAGTGTATTTGCTTAAGAATCTGGAAACAGGCTTATCAAGGAGGAATGCTGAGGGTTATAACCATGACTCTAAGTAATAATGTTGTGATTAGTTATCTTAACAATAAAAAAGGCAAGAGAAAAAACTGTGCAAAGTTTTCCTGACAAAGTTAGCTGTTATTTAAAATGGAAATGTTACTACCAAAAATTTATTCTAATGATAAAATTATAGGTTTTCCAGTTGAAATGGTACTTTGTGTTTGTTTAGAAATATCAAAAGCACAAGGGCTGCCTCAGTTTAAGCATGAAATTATGTCTGGGCTTTTCCCTCCCTTCTCTGCTTTGTTAAGAAAAAAGTCCAGCAAGCATTCAAGACCTGGATGGATTCTAAAGGACTAAATTCTAATAGGGAAAAAGGTGAGCTGGGAGGAGTGCAACACTTAATTAAAAGGGACAGTATCTATTATTTGTAGTTCATCTTTGTAGTGGCTCAAAATCATATTCTGGAGATCTCCACTTCTCTATTTTCTCCTGGTTTTCAATATTCCAATTACAACCTTTGTATGCTTTAAAATCTTGTGTATTTCTTGGCTAATTGACAGTGTTTGAGGTGTTGTGTTTCACTAAACCAGTGAAAGCTTTGGAAAAGCTGTCGAGAAATAGTTTTACATTCCCATTTTTTGAGAAGCTTGGATTGAAATCCAGCTATTTCTGCTACTAATTGCCATTAAAACTGTGAGACTGGAAGAGAGGAAACAGCTTTATATTCAATTCTAGCTTTAGGAGGTTTTGCAAAAAAATTTTCCTGGGCTGAAATGAAATTTCAAATTTTTCTATCACTTTAAAACAACATATAATTACAGCAGAAATTGCTTTAGAACTATCATCACTGTTAAAGCTGTGGTGCCATAATATATTCCATTGTTGGGTTTTTTCGTTCAGTGTTATTTGCTTTTTTTGTTTTTGCCATGGACTGTTATTAAGATAATGGGTATAATGAGACATTTCTTTATGCCTACTGAGCACATCTAGTGAGAACTATTTCACCTATCCCTTGGGATTCTCCCTTCCTAAACCCAAGTATTAATTATCTGCATATTTGCTGCCTGAGAGCAGTATCTGAAATTAGCAATTCCTGTGCTTAAATTTCAGTGGCAGTTGTAATACATGTTTTTAAAAGATGAGCAAAATTAACTGACAATTTCATAGTTCTTCCCAGCAAGGCTTTTGGAAGCAAATGCAATTACAAAACTTTTGGGAGACAATTCAGACGGAACCTGGGTTGTGCCTTTTAAAGCACAGCTATCCTTGTGCCCATTGCAATCTGCTGTGTCCCAGGCTGGAATGAGGAGACCCTGGGAAGGTCCTGTTGGTGCTGGGTTGTGCTGGGCAGTGCAGAGCTGCTGCAGGGCAGTGTGGGCAGCACAGCTCAGAGGAGCTCTGGAAACCCTGCAGAGGGTGAGGAGACTGCTCCATGGTGCATTTCCAACCATGGAAGGTGCAGGCTGGTCCTGTGGAATGTCCCCATGACTCCTGCCTGTCCATGGCAGAGCATTGGAATTAGAGGATCTTTAAGGTCCCTTCTAAGCCTAGCCATGCTGTTCTCCTGTGTTTCCAAGCTCTGGAGCATGATAACAATGTGAATTGTTTGTATGTGGTGGTGCTCAGTGAGTAGGGCTGAAGTGATGCTGCTCCAGGCACTGTGCAGAGACAGCCCTTGCTCTGTGCTGCCTGTGAGCAAAGAGGGGGAAGGAGAAAGCAGGACTAGGAGGGGGAAGTTATTTGTACAAGCTGCAGTATTTACATAATATATATTCTAAATATTTACTTAATATACATTCTAAGTGCTCTAAATCAGTGCAGTAAGAGAGGCACTGGGACCAGGGGCTGCACTGATATTGGAATGATTGAGTACACAACATTTGGCTGCAGCTGTCAAAATTCATTGCAAATGATCTCATTATGGTTTTCCATTTTGCAGTTAGCCAAGGTCTTATAAAGTTTCATCCGAAGCAACAGTACTGTTTGACTGCAGAATGCATTGAAGCTGGTAAGCAGCAATTTTATCTTCTCAATCATATCATGATTATAGTATGTTAATGAGATATTTGTACCATTTAATTTTTTCCCATTATACATTTTACTCAGAAAGCTCATTTAATGAGGGAGAAAGAATGACAATCCTAAACTTTTTAGAAAGTCACTGCTCAAATTGCTTCTGTTTTGTTTATTTTGTACAATTAAAATTCGTGTTTTAATTTGGTCTAATACTAGTCTAACTAGGTTGACTCAAAGTTTCCCATAGGGGTTATTTTCTTTTTTTTTTTAATAGGAAACAAAATGTTGAGTGACTAGACCTTCAGGAAGATTTTGTTGCTTCCTTTCCAGTTATCAGAAAACTAGCAAGTGTATTGTTAAGCACAGAGGTGCTTTTGTACCACATCTGGCACACACTATATATGATTTTATATTAAAAGAGGGTAGATTCAGACTAGTTATATGGAAGAAAATTTTTATGGTGAGTGTGGTGACACACTGGCAAAAGTTACTCGGAGAAGTTGTGGGTGCCCCATTCTGGAGGCGTTCAAGGTCAGGTTGGATGGGACTCTGAGCAACTTGGTCCAGTTGATGATGTCCCTGCTTTTTGCAGAAGGTTGGACTAGGTGACCTTTAAGGGTTCCTTCCGAGCCAAACTATTTTATGGTTTTATGATTATGTACTGAAAAGCTACTGAGTCTTGGGCTTGTCAAACTGATCTCTCTCTTAACACCTCTCTTGCACTGACAATAGTAACTGGTAAGGAAGCAGTCACAAAATGGAGCTGAAAATGCTGAAAATCTTTTCCAATTAATGGTAGATCAGAATTTGATTTGTTTTCTTGTGCAGTATTCAACTAGAGGTAAATACTGCATAGTTACTGAAATGCTAATCAAAATCTACTTAATATGTATCACTACTAAATTCCTCAGGCAATTAATTCTATCATGGCAACAATGGAGAGCCTGTCTTTAAGTGTCTGGCTCCAGCAGTTCGTGTTCATGTAGCGCTAAGTTCAGTCATCACTGCTGTATGTCTCTCAAGAAGATTTATTGCAGATATTTTGTCTTTTTTGTTTGTTTGTTTGTTTCTCATTAATCATAATTTCTGGACTGTAGCCCTGTCTAATTCTCTATTTATGAAAAAGTGTTCCACAAAATCTATGTGGTGTCTTTTTTACAGCTGCTAGCATCCTGAGCAAGATAAATCAATCTGTAGATCCATGTGAGAACTTCTATCGATTTGCATGTGATGGCTGGATAGATAATAACCCTATTCCTGAAGATATGTCCAACTATGGTGTTTATCCCTGGCTGCGACACAAAGTGGACCTCAAACTCAAGGGTAAATACATAATTTCTAAAAGTACTTGGTTGGCTTGTCACTGTAACTTGTTAAATGGCTGGGTTTGAGATTACCAAAAATCTCCACAGTTCTCATCACTGGATAACATCCAACAGCCTGACTTGATGTTCTCTTTTAAGTATATTTTTCTTTGTTTAAAATTGAAAATTACATTGAGAGATAATGAATTGAACATAAACAGAATTTGGGAGGAAGAACAGAACTGCTGGGAATTCTGGTAATTCTACCAGTTAAGAATGGATGGATGAAATTATACTGATTATAGCAAAAGGCAAAGACAAGGGGATTTAACTCTTTCCCCCTCGAAGTAAATGGTTAGACCAGAGTGCAGGAGCTCAGCACACACAGTTAAGAATATCCCAAAATCAATCATCAGTCCAGGGCAGCAGGTTGTCTCTAACAGTGGCCAACAGCAGGAAAGAATATAACAGAACCAAACCAGGATGATATTTTCCAGTACACTCACCTAGCCCTTGGCAGAGGCAATTCTCAGGCTTCCGGAGATGGAGGTTGTTTGGGCATTGGGTTTCCTTCCCACTGCCATTCAAGGCTGCCACTGAAGTACCTGAGCTATCATCAGTGAAACAGAAAGTTGCTTAAGAATGTGTTTCTGGAGGAAAAAATAGCCCCAGGGTGGAAATGTATAGGAAGAAAGGTATGTTCCTTGTACCAGTTTGGATCCCACTGTTGGTGTGTAGTCTCGAGACACCATGAGACCAAGCCTGCTCCTCGTCCTGCTCACAATCATTCCACCAGTGACTTGCCTTTGGGCTATACTCTGCAGCCAGGAAGCCTTGCTGGGAAGAAAGGGTGATGATTATTGTTAGGTAGGAAAATCTTACCAGATTCTTTTAGTCTCGACTAGAAGTGAGTCATTCACAAAAAGGGAGACATGCAAGATTTAATATTGTTGGTGCTGTGCTTGAGCTTTGCCCACCTCGAGTACATAATTGACATAAGAGCCCGGCTTGAGCTCACCACAGAACAGAGGTCAGTTTTAGAATTTAATGCTTAAATACAGCACTTGTTTTTCTTTGGATTTTGTGTAGGCACCAAAGCCCTTCTCCAATTGCTTTCTTTAGTCTTATTGTACCAATTTTCACATCATTAAGTATTTTAAAAGCTGCATTTGGGCTCAGAATATGAGTTTTGGTTTTCAGCACAGTACATGATCTCAAGACTTCTGTTTAAAGTCTGCTGAAGATGTCACAAGGAAAGGAAAAATAATATTGCCAGAACCTGTTTTAAGTTATGCTTTGCATTCTAATTGTTCTGCCTCCAGAATTGGGCTGTATTAGACAAGTGCATGTCCTGCATGAACCATAGCCACAAAGAGGCCAGTCTTAATTGAATATAAAGTAGCAAGCTGTCACTGTCATCCTTAATTTCCTCTTTTTACAGGTCCTAATCAAGGACATCATGCTAAGCCAGATTTTTATTTGGTTTTCTTTCTGCAGTTCCTATAGAAGTTGATAGTACATAGCTAGAAAAAAATGCAAGACAAAGCAAGAAACATCCAAGTGGGAAGTATTTGCTTAATGAAAACACTATATCAGATAAAGGGAGTTTATACAAATTTGTTTTATAAGAGGTCCTTGGTACAGATAGGGACAAAAAGATGTGAAATGCTGGTTGGTTACAGGAGTGTTTTTAAAATAACACTTCCCATCTCTTCCTTAACTTTTTACTTCATGAACTTTCCAAAATATAATCTTTGTAATTAAAAAAAAAAGGAAAATGGAAAGCATTGGTAGCTGAAATAATAAGCATAACTTCAACCTCTAGGTATATTTGTGTTTTCTCTTGAGTTATCTCAATATATTAGCTCAACACTGAGTTATTAATTTGTGTATGACCACAACCTTGCTAGCAGTTTTAAAAAGAGGAAGAACTCCTGCACAGAGAAACAGTTATAGGGCTGAATAGACCTTGGAAGCAAATTGAATCTCTCCTTTCTCAAGAATTCTTAGTAGAACTTTGTACCACATGGTAAATATCCCTGTTTGACATTCTGTAGATTAAAAAAACCTCAGTCTTTAAAGACCTGGTTGTTATGCAAGTTCTATGCTCTGAAATACTTATCACATTAAAGAAAACTATTAATCTTAAAATGATAACATGGCTTGGCCAGAAAGACACATTTTTTCATATTTGATTTTCTTTGATGGTATGATAGAGATAGAAACATTTATTCAGGCTATTTATTAAAAATTATGTTACTTAAAATAAACTATTTGGACTTCTAATCTGTTTTCTGGCCTCTGAATGTTCCTGAGCCTACTCCTTTTCTGGAGAAAGGGATTTTGGGCAAAGACCTGATACACAGGTTGCACAAATGTATCTTCAATATTCTGGAAACTTTGTTTTTTTGTTCAGGAGCAATTGCTACAGAAGAAGATCTTCCAGTAGATAATGCATAGCAGGTGTAATAATTAGTTTTGTCTTACCAAAAAAAGGTAGTTGTGGCTGTGTAATGTAATGTACTGAGCCCTGCATTAGGTGTTAGTGGGTTTGAGAACAAAGCATTTTTTCTCTATTTTTTTTTGGGTGTTTTTGTTTGTTTGTGGTTTCTTTGTTTGGTGGGTTTGTTTTGTTTTGTTTATTTTTTGTTTCTTTTAGTGTGTGTGTGCAATTTTGGGTTTTGTTTAGTTTTCTCTTTTTGTGTTTTTTTTTTTGCTGTGTTTTTGGAGTTTTTTTGAGACTCACAAGAGCAAACAGTTTTCCAGGTGTCAGCTTCAAAAAAGGGTAGAACATTTTCTGTATCAGTGAAGGTTTTTGGTGCCTTTATAGGGAATTACAAAGAGAGGAAATGGTAGTAGGTCAATCCAAAATAGCTAAGAACTACTGGGTGGTAGATTTTTTGTCTGCATATCTCTGGTTGATTAAAGGATCAGGATTAGAAACATTAATTTTGGGGTTCTTCTAGATATCCAAATCGTAATGTGATAGTTAAAAATACTTTTTTTTTAAAAAGATTTGGGTTTATAATGGGGTAGGAATATATATATATGATGCTCTCATGGGTTTCTCTAGCTGTCTTAAGATGCATTCAAGCTAAAATCATATCATCATTTCCCCTTTAATTTCTTTTCCATACATTGTTTGAGGGTACTTGGGTTTATTTTTCTGTGCTCAGAGGAATCCACAAACCACATGTGTAACTTGCTTTGATCTCCTGACTATACAAAATAAATAAAGTTCCAGCCTGGAGAAAGTAGTGGTAGGTCTTTCCTTGGATGTGACCTTCAGCAGGATTTCAGGCGTCACGGAGGAATGTAAAGGAGATAATTGTAGAGCCAAAAATACCTCAAAAGCAGAGGCCTGTGGTTTGGGTTATGATCCAAACCTAGGTAAGGGACATGTAATATTTAGGTTAAAACTGCTTATAGAATTGTTCCTTATAGAACTTTCCTGGAGAGGACTGATATACGACTACTTCCCCTTAACCATTCCGGGCTGGACCAGATTGTCCTTGACCTGAAGCCAGCCTTTTCTTTTCAGCTACACCACAGGCATGTTAAAAAGTACCTCACTAAAGAGCAAACACTCCTGGTGCCCAAGAGACCTCTGATTAGGATGTTCTTGGAGTTCTTCAAAATGGAAAGAATCATTTGGCTGTGGCCTGTGTTGTATGAACAGAAGCGATCTCAAACTGCAACAGCTTCAGCCTCGTGTCAGGTCAAGTAACTCTAGGATGGTTTTCCACTTACCATAATATTTCCTGCAAAGCTATTTGTGTTCCTGATGAATTTTTCCATTTTGATTTGATGACCTCCATTAAGGTTTTAGGAGTGCTTTTGTCTTGTCACTGAAAAGCAAGTGGCTTTTTGTGAACAGTTCAGAGCTGGAGGTCTGAGGGACATAATTCAGTGCTTATTACCTGTGGTGAATGTCGGTGGTGAACCCAGAAGCTTCCTTTCCTTTCTGTGAAGTACAATGGTATACAGCTGGCTTATTTTTTTCTTTTTGGGAGTGATCATGCAGGAAGCAATAAATTAAAATAAAAACAACAAAACAAAACTTCACAAACATTCCTAAATCTCAGTGCTGCAAAGGAGCTGATTTAAATTATGTGAATAATTTGTGAATATGTCTTCCAGATCTTTTAAATTTAATTTATGACTGTGGAAACCAGTTTACAAGTTAAGTCTCCATACTGTTCCTGGTCCAATGAGACACCTACTTCAGGCTGATTTGCTGTTCTAAGTTTTGTAGTGTGGCTGTTTTCTGAATGTCAGTCAGTTTAAAATGAGGAATTTCCAATGTGGTAAACAGAAAGAAATGGAGGCCTTTTAGGAGGATATGGTGTGTGAGTTTCTGAAGAACATGAGACAGACAGAAAACAAAATATCTTGGCAGCGTAGGCAGCTTTTCCCAAGATAAACTGCAATGATTTCCTTTGGAAAAGAAATTGTTTATAAGTAAAACCAATAAGTAAAAATATCTCTTTGGAAATTTATGCTGTTTGACTATAGAATATCCTTTCAGACTGATTCCAGGAGCTGGTGTTGAGCAGTTGTTGTTGCTGTTGAGTGGTTGCTGTCCTGCACATAGGACCCTGTGCCACAGGGATATTTTAGGGCTGGGTTTTCTCTCCTACCATTCAACTGGGACCACTGGGATAGTTTGGATGTGTCCCATAAAATCTGTAATGCAGCTGCTGACACTCCTCCCCAGGTTTCCATATTAGCTGACCTGTCTCTTGTGATTTGTTTCCTTCAAAGTGATTTGAGCTTTTTGAGAGCTGTACAGACGCTTTTTCAGTGGTCCAAATCTTTCCTATAGTGGCTTATTTATCTGAATGTAAGAAAAAACATAAGTGGCACAAGGTAATCAGGTAAATCTCTCCAGGCAAGAAGTGAGTAGCTTTTTGGTAAGTACCTAAGTCAAAAGTGGAGAAGCCAGGACTTTTTCCAGGCTTTGTGGCTGCTCCAAATGAAAATTGTGTTTGTCATGGGTGATTTTTGGGAAACCATGAG